ATCCCATGGGAGCAACTGAAAGGTGGACGACCGCTGCGGGAAGTCTGCTTCCAAGGATATGGGAATTTGAACCCTTATGCCAGCCGCCATTGACGGCGGCGTCATTCGGTGAGGGCAGCCCGCGTGCAGTATGTCAGGGCAGGGTACTGTGCGTATGACCCATGATGACATCAATAGCCTGATGGCGCGGGGCGAAGGCCACCCTAACGTCCATGATGCAGACTCTAGGCCGTCAGGTTTGCTGGTGATTGGGGGTCCAAGGATGAGTCTGTGCCGATACCAGCTGCTAGTCCTGAGTGCGCTTGCGCTCCCTGCGCTCCGGGGTAGTGGTTTGGGCCCCTCCCTGTTGCCCTTGGCGCTCTTGCCGTACAAAGGCATCCTTGAGGAGTATCGAGGTTGCTCACCAAGCCTGACGACCCGACGATGAGGACGAGAACATCGTCAAAAACTTCGTCGTGGGAACAAGCCAACAGCCACCTCGAAGCTTCGCCTGGCCCCAAATGGCACCGGAAGTGGCCTCAACCTCAGGTGCCGCTCGTGCCGAAGTGCAGCACGAAGGGCCGCTTCAGCTTGCTTCAGCTTGCCGGGGCCTTTTCTCCGACTAGTGAAATTTGTGGGAGATGCTTCGGTGGCCCAAGGATGTGCCGGTACCGCATCAGTGCCGGTGGAGTCTTCTGGAGATGTTGAGGGAGGTGCTGCGGAGCTGTCGCGAGACTGACAGCGTGAGTAGTTTTTGAGCAGCGTGTCTTGCGCCTTGTACCTTGTGTGAGTAGACATGATTCCCGCTGGAACGACTAAGCGAGAAGCGCTTTCCTGCCTCAAACCCGAGCCAACCCGTTGCCTTCAAAAAGGCTGCGGCACGCTTTGGGGTGGTGGAGTCAGACGACCTGGTGATGTTGAGCATGGTATCCTGCCGAGGGCAGCTTTTTTGGTGACGGGGACTTGGTCAACTTGCGAAGGACGTGGCTCCGCGCAGAAGGGAGAACGGCAGCTGAAGGTGAGGGTCCTGGAAGACGACTTGCTGGCCTTGTGGCGCTTACTTGATCCTGTGTTAGTCTTTGCCTGACCAGGGTTTGGAACGCAGCCTCCTCAGCGGTCGGTCCCAAGAAAGAGGGCGGCAGCGCCAAAAGGAAGTCTGAAGAGCTTGCGGAGGATGCCCGGATACGGATGCCACTATGAAGGTTTTGCGGAAGTGCCTCGTTTGCGGTAAACAGCGCCATCCCTTCTGCCCCCTCCCCTTTGACTTGGGGAAGAAGGAGCGGGAGAAAAGAAGGAGGCTAAGCAAAAGGCTGCTGCAAAGAGGGAGGCTGCCAAGAAGGCCAACGCCGAGACGGCGACCAAGTAGGAACTCGTCAGACCTGCTGCAGAGCCCGCTTGCAAAAAGGTTGAGCCGCGTTCTTTCTTAAGGGAGTGTGCGGGAGTGCAAGGTTCTTGAGCCGTGGGACCTTTTAAGCGGGAAGGATGTTAAAAAAGGGTGAAGGCGTTTCCGGGGGTGTGTAAAGGCTGCGCGCATTACTCACTTTGCCCCAGACTGTGAGCGGTTTCTAGAGGGTTTCAAAATTTTCCAGAAAGTCCAGGGCAAGGCTTGATTTGGGCATGAAGTTGGCAACCCTCAGTGCAGATTGCTGCATAGGGATTCGCGAGAGGGGAAATCACTTTTCTCTCGAAGCCCCCGGTCGGTCCCGAGCTTTGCGTTTGGAAAGCTGGAAGAAACTAGTGAGCCTCCCAGGCGTATACAGTCTACATTATCGTAACTGCGTGTTCCTTTGGCAGTTGCCGTAGGAAGTACCAGCTTATGATAGTAAATTCGTCGTCCCTGAAGGAGTCGTTCAAGGACACCCTTTGTGGATCCGATAGCGTTTGTACCAGCGCCAATCTGTCGCATCTGAAGTGGAAGCCGTTGGTTAAAGATGGGAAGGTGCTCCGGTTCAAGACGGTTCGCGAAGAAGTCATGTACAAGGACATGTAACGATTTCAAATTTAGACTTCCACCAGTGCTCGACGCACAGAAACCAAGACAGAGGTATTGGCACAACGCCTTTCGTTGACTTGCGGCTGGAGTTCAATCGAGTTCCAGCTGCATGTTGACTCGGCGTGCTGAAAGAATCGAACTTCGCTGCAAGGTGTTCTTCCGATCGCGGGACCATCAAACATCAGCGGGCAGCGCAACGTCTAGCTGCCAAGGAGGAATTCCAGGACATGGTGTCGAAATCTGAGAAAGATTCCGTGTGGCGGCGCGATTGCGTGCACGCAAGTAAGCGGGGGAAAAGGACCTAAACAAGATTCCCTTGTGCCTGACCGGAGTCAACCGATCGACCATTGGCAAAACAACGGAAGGGCATGCTGGGGCGACGCCTCAATCGAGACGTGGCTCTGCACGAACGCCGTTGTACGCCAAGAGCGCATGAAAAGCGAAGTGTTCCGGGTACCCATGAAGTGGTTGAGAGGCTTCAGAACCGAAATCAACCAAAAGCTCGCAAGAGCATCAGCAAGGAGAGAGCATAGAAGTGAAGCTCTCCGAGAACCAGAGTATTCTACAGATACTCGGAGCGGCGACGAAAGAGAATCGTCCTCTGAGCTTAGTGGGCCCTTCGTTGAGGTCTTCTCAGGGCCCAACGCTCCTCTCGGTCGTGCGGTGGCCAGGAGGATCCTGGCCGTGTCAGGAAAAGGTGTCGGAAATGAGCTTAACTCCCTGGCACAGTTTCTCGAAGGAAAAGATTCAAATGGTCCTCTCCCGTCTTCGAACGTTTTGGGCGTCGGTAACGAGACATGGCTGAGAAGGGCTGCCGTTCAAATCCGCCAAGCAGCCGAGCTATGGAAAGCGAGTTCAGCTTATATCCGACAGCCTCAACGACCCCGAAATCTACTTGAATTCTGTCTTGGGGCTTGTTCATCCCTTCGATAACTTCAGCACCCCTAAATGGGATCATCAAGATGCTTTGAACCCTATGGTTTGCTACAGGAGGAGCCTCCCGAAGCACAGGCTGAAGACCTTAAGAGAGATCAAGCAGCTCTCTGAGTGCACAGATGTGCTGGAGAAGCAACTTGTCCACGAGGGACTTGCGTCAAGGAGCGCAGTTAAGCTCGGGAGGAAAGCTCGTTCCGCCCTCATGGAGATCCTGCAGGAGAAAGTTGGCGTTGAAGACACATCTGTTCCAACGCTATGCCTGTCAGGGATGCCCATAGTGGGTAAAGGCCTTACCTCCCCGTTCTTCCTTGAATACAAGGTGCCCCCCACAATCTGGGTTTAAGAGCTTCTTTCCTTGTCCAGGAAGAACAGAACTTTGATGTTGAGCAGAGTCATCGATCGGCATGGCAGAAAGTTCGGGGCCCAAAGTCGCTTCTGCCAGATGGGGCAACACCATCAACGAAGTTGCAGAGGGATCCATGTCTGGCCCTTTCTCAGTGGAGGACGTCCAACGCACGCGTGGCGGATTCGTCAACGTTGTGCCTAGCTTCGGCCTTGAGCAAGGCAATGACGAAGATGGCTGGCCACTCCGCCTGCCTGGGCAATTCGGCGGCCCATAGGCTGCAGAAGATTGAGATGGCAAATGTTGATTACCTTGCTGTCATGATCCGGCCCCTACAAGAGACCTCCGAAGACTTCGCTCTGATCGGGACTGAAGACATGAAAGGCGCGTACAGACAAATTTCTTTGCCTGTTCGACAGGTTTCCATCTCCATTACCGCAGTTTATGAGCCAACTGGCAAACAGGCTAGACTGTCTGAGATTTATGGCCAACCTCTTGGCCATGCAGGCCTCAATTTCTGTAGTGTAGCCGAATGGCTCTCAAGGCTCATAGTTCGAGCTTTGATCATTCTCATTGATCACTTCTTCGACGACTTCTTTTATACCTGCCGTGCTCACGAAGAGAGTTTTGCCTTCTTCTGTGTCTGGGAAATTTTCCGGCTTACCGGTGTTGATGTCGAATCGAAGAATCCCAACCTCCATCAGATTTCTCCCTCGTTGCCAGGTGGGCCCACCGCGAGTCTTACATGGGACAGCTTGAGCTGCTAGCAGGTCCTTTGGCCACTTGGCCCGAACAACTTCGCCATACCAAGCTGTTCCACTTTATTATAGACAGCGATTCCGCAGCAGCTGCTTGTGTGCTGAGAGGCTATAGTCCACAGGTGGATTCTTCGCCGCTAGTCGGAGACTACTGGCTGAAAGCCTCAAAAGTTGGGCTGGATGTCTACATCGACCGAGTTGAATCCATGTGAAACCTAGCGGATGGTCCCAGTCGACTAGATTACACACTCGTCAATTCTTTGGGAGGAAGATTCATATCTCCGCCGTCTGATTTCTGCATCCCGACCTTGCAATCTTTTGCTACATTCGAATGGTCTCGAGTCTTGTGATACTGGTTTACCCGGACGACCACTCCCGTTTCCTTCAAAGAACACGAAGGGAGCAGGACGGAACCCAAGGACTGGCCTGGGGAGCAAAGTTTCGCCCTGCTCCGCGTGAGTGACCTTGTTCGAGAAATCCTCCGGTTTCACGCTCAAAGTCAAGAAGGATTCGACTAGGTTGCAAGGGGTGATTCACTGCGTTTCCAATCGAGATAAAAAGAAGCGAACTTGATGAGCTTCTTTTGAGTTCCGTTGTGCAGCACAAAGATATCCACTGCTTGTGCGATAGTACTATGTGGATGTCTAGGTGCGAAACTGATGGTCGTGGCCATTTTGGTTCAAGACACGTCTTTGCACATCCCGCCCTGCTCCGCGTGAGTGGCCTTGTTTGCGAAATCTTCCGGCTTCACGCTCAAAGTCGAGAAATGTTCGACTAGGTCGCAAGGGGTGATTCACTGCGTTTCCAATCGAGATAAATTTGATGACCTTCTTTGGAGTTCCGTTGTGCAGCGTGAAGATATCCAACAATTCATTCTAAACGTAGTCTGACCGGTGGGGAAGTGAATCCATCTCATGTTCCTTCTACAGCCTTTTCCCGAAGCCCTGATAGTTTGGATGGACTATGACAGGTCCAAAATCTCATCAAAAACATGATCTATGGAGAGCCGCTCGGCTCGTGGAGGTTGCGTATTGGTTTCAAGGTCCAGGGGTTTAGGATGTAAGGTTACAGGGTCCCAGGTTATCTGGTTTAGGGCTTACGAGAAGTTCACATAGGCTTTCTTTTCATTCCAATTCTAAGTCCTTCGCTGTTTTTGTTAGTGTCGGGCCGTTGGGAGTCCGACACATGTGAACTCCAGGGTTTGGAAAAAGCACAGCAGCTGGTTTAGAGCTTCATTGCGCTGTTGAGGTCTGGCAAGAACAAGTCAATCACAACTGGCTGGGTCAACCTCGTCGACGAAAAGGACATCCCCAGGCAGACATCGTTTGTTGCACCATACAACCTGAATCCTAAAGCTATGCGCCCTAAAGCCTGAGCCCAAATTCTGAACTGGAAGCCCGAAACTCTAAGTCGCACGCCTGAAGCCGAACCTGTTTGGGCACTTTTCAAAAACAGGGCCACGGCGGTTGGATCCTAGTTGCAGGGATTGCAAGACAGGGGCCCACAATCTTGAGAGGCTCTTTTGCCAGGGGTGGAGGTAGGGTTTGAGCTCACTCAGAACGGTTCGAAATGTGAAGCCGGCATGTGATCAGGTTGACTCCATGGGAGTTTCAGCTGGCGCACATCATGCAACTTGTGCTTGAAAGAAAGGTGTTGGGCTGCAGGTGGGAGTCACATGCGCTGCCGCTATCATGAAGATGAGGTTGCTCTTGCATGAATTCTGCTTGAGGGACATGAAGAGCAGTTACTAAGTGTAATTTGCTCTGCATTTCAAGCTCTTTGGGAAGCCATGCTGACATCAACCGCAGGCAGCCTTGAGACTTCTTCCCTGCAGCTCAGGCGCACGTCCATGGCGATGGAGTACGCCGCCAAGAAAAAGAAGGTGGGATAGGGCTCGCAGCCGTGAACACTATTGTAAAGGGATGAAAGACTGACACAAATGGAGGTTCATGAGCCATAGCCTAATCCCTGCTCTAATGCATGTGTGGAGCTTGATTTCGGATGGAGATTGTGTTGAGACATGCGTGGAACGCAAGGTTTCCCAATGCCAGCACATGCCAGCACGCCTCGTCGTTTGGAAGAAAGGTGAAAATCAGGAACCTTCTTTGCCACGGTCAATCCACAGCTAGAGAAGGCCCCCGAACTCCGGCATGAACCCCTTGCCCTTTGCAATCTTTTGCTCCGCAACTCCGTGCGGTGCGACTTGAGGAAGTTCCTGACCTCAATCTCTATTACGCCGCTTGGCTGCCCTAAGACCAGTTGAGGGTTCAGGGTCTAGGGTTTGTGACCTAAACTGAGGGAAGCTTCAGGCCATTTCACGGCTGCAGGAAAGGGTTCTACGAATTGGGGGATGGTACTGCAAGTCTACATGTGTAAAGCTGGGACAGGATATTGTTCATATCAACCTTTGCAGGCTTTGCAGGACTTGCTAGGTTTTTTAAGTGTTTGTTGAGTGCGAGTTCTTGATGCTACTTCTCAGGGTGTCTAGGCAGCAGAGCCCACACCCTGCACCCTTCAGCACGGCTTCAAGGAGATGTGCCAGTCCCTGGCAGATGCCATTGGTCTGATCAAGAAGCAGTGGCTGGCCAGCAGAGGTGTCCATCCGTCAGTTCTTAGCCATGAAGCTCGGTGGTCAGCATGGTTGCATTTCACATGAAGCTGGGAAGGTGGGGTGGGGCAAGAAGGGGGTGGGGTGTTTGGGGGGGGGGGATGCTTCGGGGGGCAGGTCCTTGGAGGGAGAGTGCTTTGGGGGGGGGTTC